GGGATAAAAAAAAATCTAAAAAAACCCTACCAGTTTAAGTCGTACTGCTGCTTCTTCCTCCTCTTTTTCCTCCTCTTCTTTTCCTTCCTCCTTTCCTTCCACCCTCCTCCTCCTCCCCTTCATTTTTTCAAGGGGGGGCAATGGAGAAGCAAATGAGATATTCTTCTGGTACATCCCCGTGTTTTTCCCTTTATTCTAAGCCATGTTTCTTCCCCCCCCCTTTTCTTTAAATGCACGAGTTTTTTCTATTGTGTTGAATTAATTTATTTCAAGTGTAGTTTTTCTTTTTTTTTAAGTTATGAAAACGAAACAAAACAAAATAATGTTGTGAATAAAATGCCCAAACGAGAAAAAGAAAAAGAAAAATGGCCAAGAGTGAGCAGCTGTACTGTGTGAAGTTGGAAGGCGCCGAAGGAGCCTTCCTCTTTGATGCTGATCCCGGCCAGTCCTGTTCCTCGTTTTAAAGAGACGGCGGGTTCATCTGCCCGGCGGAGCAAGAGGGTGAGCGCCAGATCAAGACGTCGGGCTCCACCGGGAGCAGAAAACCTGCCTGACATTCCAGGATGCTGAGAGCAGCTCGCTGGAAGCAGTGTCCGAAAGCTTAAGTGAGAGGTTGCCAAGCGCCGGGATTCCGAGTTTGGGCCCTGGTGGAGTAGCGGGTGGCTCGTTTTGCGTTGGCCTTGTCTCTCGTTCCTTCACGGCAAGGTGAGGCGGGAGAGGCGCTGGGTATCCTGGTCTTCGGATTTGGCTGCCAGACCCTCCATTTCTTGAGAGAAAAGGAAGGGCTCCTGCTGAGTTTTTTTTCCCACTTGGCATAATTAGACCTTCAACGGGAGATTTGCCTAGGCCAGCTCAGCATGCCAACAACTCTACCATTCCGGATTAATTCCGGGCAAGGGCATTAGAGACAAGGAAAGAAAAGTTAGAGAGGAAGGCAGAACAACCCGGTTCTCAGGCTTGGGCCAATCTAGACAGAAGCGCCTGATTCTGAGGTTGCTCCAGCTCCATGAGGGTAAAAAGGAGGGGAAGGGAGTTTTAGCAAGAGCTTCCACACAGATTACCACAAAAAGCTGAATGGGGTGCCGCCGCCATCATCACTTCGAAATCACGTTGCTCCCCCTTGCTTTTCAGCCAGAAGCAACATGCAGGCAACTGCAGATGGGTGCGCCCACTCCTCTCCCCGCTCTTCTCGAGCTACGAAAAGTACTGGCTAAAAATAGGACAGGTCCGGACGGCAGACCCGGGCAGGCGGAGGGAAGAGGGGGCCTCCTGGCCAAAGAAACAAGCCAAACCTGGGAGGGGCGGGCGGCGACCCGGAAGAGTTTCTTGCTTGCCACTTGCTTGCCAATTAACGACTGGCAGCTGGCGCACAAGATTGAAAAACCTTTTCAACCCCACCCATACACTTGGCGAAACAGAAACAAATACCCGCATCAACGCGATTGGGGAAGGTCTGAGAAGTCTCAGACTGCCGTAGGGCCTGTCCCAGTACTACGCGGTGCGCTGCGTCCGAAGGGCCTGGCGACGCACGGAGCCGGAGCAACGAGCGTGGCTCAGTCAGCCGCCTGTTCTGCTCGTTTTTAGGCGATGCTGCTTTCCGGATTTCGAAGGAAAGGAGCGTCTTGCGTTGCTGCTGAGAGCCGCTGCCCGATACAAGGACCGTTTCTCTTCGCCACGCTAAAGAGGGCCTCTTCGGGTTCTGGGCCCACCTTCCCGTAAGCCTGCTGCCCCAAAGGCTTGGAGAGCCTGCCCCACAGAGTTCCGGGGACATCGTGGGGGCCGCCGCCTCAGGCTGAGGAATCCCATTTTGGCAGAAAAGGGCAGCTTCAAGACCTTGCGAAAAGCGAAAAGTTATAGGGGGCGGGGAGGCGCGCGCCTTGCCTTGGAAGCACGGCGGGAGCTCGCACATCCTGTCCTGGAGTTCCTCGGCAGCCTTCTGGTTAGAGCAGCTGCCCTCGTCGGCGAACTGTGCCCGTGGGTCTAGCACCAGCCATATAGGGGTCCCAGCCTTCTTTGCGAGAGGGAAAAGGAAGACATCCGGCGGAGGGAAGGGGGCAAGCGCGGTGCCCACTGGTCGATAGCTGAAGTGGGCGATTTCTTCTTTTCACACAATAATCTGCACGGACCCGGGAGGGGGGGGTGGTCGCTTCCCGCAGGGTCAGGAAAAGCCCCTGAGCGGGACCCCCGAGGCCGAGGCGGGAGCCAAGAAGATAAACAAGCGAGGGGGGGCTGATAGCTGCCATCATCACCATCACAGCTTTCATTTGGCTGCCTAATGAGTCAGATCACAGGCAGAGAGAAAAATTGTCAATCGCCCAGACCCTAATGAATTTTTTTGCAAATTGTAATCAAGCCAGGCCGTCTCAGCTCGCTGATTAATGAGACCCAAGAGGCTTGGCCGGCACCTCCGCTTTTTATTCCATCCCAGCCTCCCTGCACTAAATTAACAGCAACTTGTCTGCGCTTCAAATTAACTCCCAATGATTAATTCTGATGGGGGGGCCTGAAGAATAGCTTGCGTTAATAGACACTGGCCTCTGATGCTGTTTGAAATTAATACACTTCCCCCCTCTGGCTGCCGGCTTTAATCCAGAGTTGGGCTTTGACATCCCTATATTTGTTGTTATAATAAATTTCACTTACATCTGCACATCAAATCATTACAAAGCCCGCGATCCCATCCCAGAAAGCTGGGGGCTTAGTTGAAAAAACAGCCGGGAAAGTTGGACTGGGATTCGCCTGTTTTTCGCCAGTTAACAACAAATCCCTACTTACGTTAACAGCAGTCTATTTTAGATCTGATGAGGAATAACACACACACACACGCACACACACGGATTTTAAATGTTCTCTTTGAAAAAGAGGAAGAAAGTAGATATTTCTTTTTTGGGACAATGAAGATGATAATGGCGGAAGGTTGCATTATTTTCTTGTCCCGATAGGAAACTACAAGCTCAAACTAGAAAAGCAAAAGGGCTGTTCTGTTTTTCGCCAACGTGAAGAACGAGGGAGGGAGGGGGGAAGAGGAAAACAGCCAGAGAATCTGCTCGCCTTCGTTTGCAGGGCTGGTCGTGGAGGTTTCCTCTACACGGTGAACCAGGGACTTCGCCAAGTCTCTCCCCCCACCGCAACGATCTACTACTCTTCTTCTTCCGGGGGGGGCAGTAGCAGTGAATCCACCTCCGCTTCCAGGTCCGGTGGCTGTTTCCAAATCCTGCCCCCCCCCCCCAGCGAATCTTCGAAGAGCGGTCCAGCAGCGGCGCGGGGACGCGTGCAAGCGATCCAGGCACCTTTCTCTCTCCCTTTCCCGCTCCGCAGAAGGGTCACGTCTCTCTCCCATCTTGCTTCTGTTTGTATTGACTTAATTGGCTTAATTATTTCTGCCGTGATTGGCAAGCTGGCGTATCTTTTTAAGCGCCCCCTCGTGCCCCAGGGGTCTGCCGGTGATCTCTTGTCAGAACGAAGGCAGATTGCTTTGGCAAACCCATAAGTTGCACAAGAGCCCCTTTGTGGCCAGCAAAGGAGCGAAATCTGGGAATGAACCGATCTGGTCTCTGCTTGGTGGGAGGCCTTTTGGCAGCCCAGCAATGTGGTCCCTTCAATTGAAAGCCACCCTCCAAATTGAACCGCAGAAAAATGGTGCTGTGCCAAAGGGGCACAGAGGTGTCCCTCTATAAAGAGGTACCCTCTATAAACTTACAGGTACTTCTGTAAGAGGTAAGCTTGCTAGCTCCCACAGATTTCTAGTCCAGTTTATAATCGAAACGGGTAGAATTGTTAGCCGTGAAACTCTAAAGACAGATCAAAAAATAAGATTGCGTGAAAAGCTTTCCAACTATTTCATTGCAGAAAGTGCCAGGAAAACAGCCCCTTTGGGAACTGAGAGGTGAAATGGAGGAAAGGGGAAGAATCATATTCTCCTGCTTGCATAAGAAGCAAAAAGAGGGACCCAACGCTTCCTCTCATAATTTCTATGACTTTGTGCCAGAGGAGCAAGGCCAGAACAAGCCCCGGTCTCTCCCATAGCGTGAGAACTAGGGAGGGAGCAAGGCTGCGCAGGCACCTGGAAGGACAAAGCCTGTGGTGAGGCAGCAATCAAGTGCAAGGGCCGGGGAAGGGAGAGGAGAGGAGAGGAGAGGAGAGGAGAGGAGAGGTGAGGTTAATCGGGGGATCCGCACAGTAGTTATTTCACGAGTCAAAGGCAGGAG